TAAATATTACCCTTCAATCGCCTTAGACCGCCTACACCCATACCGCTGGGTGTTTTAGGTTTTATTTCTTTTTGGTCTTTGGTGTTGTCGTGTGTTAGTGCCTATCACCGTCTGGGCGCATCCGCTGCAATGGCTCCGCGTCCACTTTGCGAGCCGCTGCGCGACTCACTTACATAATCTGCGTCCTCAACTTTGTAGGGAGGATTGCATTTCGTCAGTGTCATCTCCCGACCCAGAGAATATACCCAGGTTTTCGCGAACATGGCTCATCTCACAGCAGAGAGTGCTACAAGCCACTACAATAGTCAATTCCCACGATAAGCAATAAGAGTAAAACCGCCATGCGGACTAGGACAAGACACACAATCGATAAATTCACGAACATATTGTTGTAGACCCATATAGCATACACCCCAGACTAGAGAAAATAAAAGAGAGATAAGACGAAGAATTGAGCCCGCAAATGAGCAAACAATGGTCCCAGAGACTACAAAAATGCGCCAAAAGTGGTTTTGTAGTCTCACATACAACCGGACTTTCAATCGGAGTTTCAGAAATGTAGTCTGCAATACAAAACATAACTCCCACGACGTCTCGGCACAAACGGTTCTCACGGGGTACAACGTTCGGCACGCAGGCATATTTTGCGCGTAAGGACTCGACCTTCGTACCTCAGGACTCGTAACACGTACAACCTTTTCGGCATCTCGAAGACTCCGAGGTTAACATCCAAGCGCACTGCCAGCCAAGTGGCCGACTTCGATTCCGACGATGAACGAAAGCCGAAGATGTCACGGTCTCGCACTGGCAGCAGATTTTGATTGACTATCTCGGGTATTCCACGGGAGTTTCGGCTTGTCCCTCTGCATTCACTGCTAGTTTTGTAACGCCTACTTGTACCTATTTCCTTGCCGTTTATTATAACCCAAGTCGCTATTGAATGCAAGGATACTGGAACTTTCTGACTCCCCACCGGGTGGTAAGCTTTCGAGTTAGCAACTGTCGCGTTCTGCTTTAAGATTGTCAGATATGATGCGAGTCTTTAAGTTCCCTACTGCCTATCAATTACGACGCAGCACTTATACAGACCAGAGAGTAGGCACCTGGGCCTGTGCGAGCCTTGAGGAAAGACTAACACGAGTACGACCCCAGTTCAGGAGGGTGCTGAGTACTCACCGGCATTCTTTTCTCAACGACGCCGCCGCCGAAGACTTTCAGTATCGCGGCTACCCATTATCTTCAGAATGTTGGATTTCGGATTTTGGGTTCGAGCTTGCCAGTGCGAGCTCGCGCCATGTTGCGCGTGTTCAGGGGGACCGCCGCAGGCGGGCCTGACTGATACTTATATATTTGTTGTATCTACTCGATGTACCATACGCGATTGCCCTTCGGGCAACCGCCCGCTCGGGGCAAACGCGTTCGTCTTCCGTTTGCTAGGAATATTTCAACTCAGAAATTCGGACTTGATGCACAGAGACCATATAATACTTAAATATTCTGATATGATGCTCCTCTCGCCAATGTAACAGCATCGTTAAACTTCCATCTGAGGGGAATAGTCCTCGTTCCAATCTATAGCCCCCCCTGAATGCGCCGAGGGGAACCATTCAATCTTCGAGTAACTAAAAGTAGGCATCTACCAAGGGGTGTGAGGCAGGTACATAATCACAAATTGCCGAGAATAATAATACATGATCGTACACGAAGAGCCTGGGCTCGGAAGCCAAAGGTAATAAATACACATCAAGATCGCGTCCCAGACGAAGAAAGTAACACGTCAGGCCTCACTGCGGACACCACCTCTCCGCAATCATCCACGCCTCGTTCCTGAAAGCGGCGACAGCCTCGGGGTCCCCATCACGGTCGGCGCGCCAGCCCCGAGTCTCAAATGCACGCGCGAGGTCCGTGAAGGCGCGCGCGCAGCACTTGTGTGCCTGCGGGAATGTGAATAGCAGCTCGCGGTGCGTGAAGATAATGTCGAGGTATTCTCCGGCTGCCAAGCCTCAGGTCAGCTTTAGTACACGGTAAGAGAGAGGACGGGACAGGACGGGCCTGTGGTCTGGCAGCTGTCGACCTGCGCTTGGGCGGCCTGCAGTAGGCCGCAGCCGAAGTGCTCTTCTTCGACGGCTGGCTTTGATAGCGTCTGGACGGGCTGCTTCTGCGTTAGTGAACATTACAGGCCGACCACTCAGGACGGACCTGCTGCAGTTCCACCATGCCTACGTCGGCGCTTGGCAGCGCGGGCGGTGCGGTATCCCGACGTTCTTCTTGCTATCTCGTTTAGTGCCACTCGGTCAGTCAGATACCCCGGGGGTAGGTAACGACGGGAGGTACATACCCCAAAGCGCGGGTCCTTGAGGCTCAGCGTGTCGAGCAGGTAGCAGAGGTCGATGTCAATCTACAATTAGGGATTTAGTAAATCAGCTCGGTACTCGTGCCACAGAGACTGCGCACCTGTGGGTGAAATGCGGTTGCCATTACTGTAATCTTTGCCCGATCAGTATGCGATTACGAGTCTTGTTGGGCGCCGGCGAGTGAGTATGGTTTCTGCTGGTATGTAACGGTGAAGGAGGCAAATGAGCTGCCGCTGCATACGCAGTATGTATACGCATTGGACTGGGCCACGCCGCTTGGTGTCCGGATCCTCATGTCCGCAACATGCTCCATCGCGGATCTCAGCGTCATCGGCCTCGAGGCTCTGATCCTTCCATTTTGGGAGGATTGTGCCAAATCTCTGCAAGTCATATGATTCATTATGGATTCGTTCGACAGTACAAGATTCCCGCATTACCTACAACTCTAGGTCGTCACTTATGCCAGTCATGCGATTACCGAAGGACAGTAATCGACAAAAATGCAAACGAGATGCCGAGACAAACGGTCGTGAATATGCTCACGCTCCGAGCGAGCGACGTCCACACGTACGACATCACCCCCAGTACGGCGAGCGCGAATCCTAAGCTTGAGAGCGTGATGCACATCGTGTGCACGCACAGCAGCAGCGCGATCGGCGGCCTCGGCTCTTGCTTCTTCGAACTCGCCGGCGACTTGGACTTGGACTTTGCGAAGCTGAATATGCGCACCTGCTCGACGCGGATCCTGGAGCTCGTGCTGGCGGCGCTGACCCCGGAGTAGGCGTTGGACTCCGACTGCGGTAGGTTGGCGGCTTCGCGCTTGGTGAAAGTGTTCAGGTGCGTCGCCTTACGAGAGGCTGCGATGTTCTCCGTGTCCTGCTGCGGGTCGGTGTTCTCAGTGACTTCCTCGCCTTCGGCGTCTACGAGCTGGTAGCGTATGAGGGCAAACGACGCGATATACGAGATGATGGCTGTGTGACCGACGTTAGATACCCTACTAGAAGGACAGATTTGTAAGGCGTACCTGCAAAAAGATGAAAGACCAAAGCGCCTGCGAGACTGGCGTGCACCAGCTGACTCGTGTTCGTGGTATCATCATTGAAAGGGGCAGTAAAACCGAGGAAGGTGCCATCCATCCCAGCAAAGAAGGTAGTCTATAACGCCCCGTGTAATAAGGTGTCGCTTCCAGCGGAAATGAACTCCTTACCACAACGCTGATAAGGGACAACCTGTTTGTCCATATCGACACTATCTGCAACATTTCCTGATTATCCGCGTCGTCATCTCCACTTCCGTCTCCAGCTGCCACTGAGCACCCCCTCAGACGTGTAAAGCCGGGTCACAGACGAACGTGCTTACATCGCCCAAAGGGAGTGCGCCGTTGACGAGGTGTGGAGAACGCAGAGAATCGACCATCAGGGCCTACAGCACCTACCTCGTCAACGTCAGGATGGCACACCATGCCACTGTAGAGGCGAAGGACGCGTACCGGACATTGTTACACGTTCTTGCACCTTCAAGTGGGCGGAGGGTGCTCGCCGACAATGGGGGATAACACAGCAGCCTCCACCTATGACCGCGCCATTCTCGCGGTCGTAAATAAACGCTGTTATGATGGCCGCCATCGAGAAGCGCTTCCCGTTTTGAGGTGCGGGAGTGGACGCCAGGCAGCCCGATAAGGAGCCTTCGCACCATGCTGCTCGCTGTCCATCTTTACTAGCTCAATGTAGACAGCCTCGGAAACAGCTATACCATTGCGCCGATTGTCAAGACGGCATGGAATGTTTGTCAGGACAGGATTGCTTTCGTTTGCAGCTTGATCACTGGCAGCTGCCACAGTGCCAGTGCAGGCTATGGGACGCCGGAAGCAAAGAACCATGCCCTTCAGCGTGAACGTGACTCCGATGATTCAGAGCCGACTTCAATTACAGTGCTTTGCATAAAAGTCGGCGCGTCTCTGTTTGTTGGTCCTTCAACCCACCCCCACGAAGGTCACGTGACTCAAGCTCCGGCTCGTGCCGCCTGGCGAGAGTTCACAACGTATTTAGATATGTAATGCTAAGAGCTTTAATATATTGATTTTGACTGGCACTATCAGTTTAGTCCAAGTGGGCTGGGTGAAATAAATGATAAAATATGTGCAGAAGCAGATTCTCTGAGGGGATCCAAGTTGAACTAAAGTGGTGTTGAATATTTATTCCTGTATCCGGTCAGTTTGGACGTGATTTTGATGTGATTTGAACGGGGTTTTTGACCAGGATTTTGACGCAAACTTGACGGGTGCTGCGGGGTTTCGACGGTATCTTGTTATGAGTTTGTTTACGGGGCTTTGCCGTGATTTATGACTTATTATAGTTTTTTGTAGGTGTTATGAGGGGGGACATGCTGTCCCCCCTCAACCCCCCCTTGCCTGGGGGTTCCCCCTGGACCCCCCTTTGCTTCTTTTTTCCTGGTGCTGTTGATTATCAGCTTTCTGTGGTTATATTTTATGTTGTAAGTAATCTGAAAATGGAGATTTCCCACTTTTGGCAGGTAGTTTGATGTCTGATTTTATTCTGTGTCAGGCTCATGGCATTTTTGACCCATGAGTTATGTCTAATGGTGTTTCCGTAGCCGGGGTGGCCAGCACGCGGCCACCCAAGGGTACAGTGTCTTCCACCACCCAAAGACAGCCAGGGTGGCAAAATGAACAAGTTTTGATTGAGTTATTTTCCCTTCATTTTAGCCATATTTATACACACAAACAATACTGGGGATATGAAAGACTTTTTGCCCAGTAAGCGAATTGAACCGAGGCATCCTGGATTTATATGGACTGCGTTACCGACTACGCCAAACTGCACTAGTTATGAGCCCGCGTCATAGCCATACATACCCATAGTTATATCCCTTCTACCGTTTTCGGTAGTCGAGTCGTGGGTTTTGGTCACGTGCTCTCATCCCGTGCCCGCGTTTCGTGGGGGTGAGTTTGTCGCCCCTGTTTGTCCCAGCCAAACAATACCCTATAGGGTAACACCTGACCGAGGGCGCGACGGTTCCTCGAGTCAGCCTATGTCGCTCCTGGGACACAAATGCCCGTCTCAAGGCTGAATAACGCCCAGATCTGTATCTCTTCAGCATATCGACCACGCAAAGGTCAAAATCCCACAAGAACGACCCTCATACATGGATGTCGAAGCGTCCCGCCAACCAGTCAACAGCCCGCGCTACGGTGATCGACTACCCCATATAGGTTTGTTTGGCTGGCACAAACAAAATTTCGCGAATCGCGGTTTCCGGACTTTTACAGTCGTTTGCATATGAAACCGAAAATCGGGTTTCCGTGAGCATTGTTTGTTCGAGCCAAATATACCCATATGCAGTAATGCGAGATGGCTTCTTGTGACTGTGTGACTCTGTAGACTGCAGCCCGCCCTCAGGCTGACAAACTGCATGTGCTGTGTAGTCTGTTGTAGACTCGATCTCGTAGCTCATCAAGGTAGATAGCAGGCTCTCCCTCAATAACTGATCGCACGAAGTTCAATCCTGCATGTCCAGAGTGCGCGGCCGGCCTCGAGGTCTAGCATTCGGGTTGATGACTGTGCCGTATTCCGTGTAGAGTCGGAGAACTTCGAAGACTGTGCTTATGCTGCATCCCGCAAGCTCAGAAATCACTCAGAGTGTCTTGTTTTGCTCATGGCGCCAGACAATGATACGTTCACGTAGTTGTCGAGTGAGGTGAACCATGGTACCAGCCAGTCGATACTTCAAGTTCGAGACGTCGATGAATGCTATCTGACAGTCACGCAGTCA